TTTAATATTTAAAAAGTTAGGAATTAAAAAAAATTAAAACGAAGCCTCCGGAGCAACGCCCGGGTCTGAGAGCTAGTACTTTACTAATAAAATACCTTCGTAGCGAACGTCTTGTTAAAGCATCAAGTTGCATCAAGCTTGCATCACGCTACAAAAGGTATATATATTAAGTGTTGAAGCACTGTCTACCGTATAGTAAGAGGTAAGAAAAGTATATTGTACTGCTTAATTCGCAAAGTTTAACGTTGTTTTTTCTTTCTTTTTTTATTATTATTTCAATTGCTAACTTGTTAATTTTTATTCACAACTTATGCAGACTCGTTTTAAAGTTATACATGCTTCTTAAAAGATATTTATTACAATTAAAGTAATTTAATATGTACGATAGTATAGTTTTATTAATTACGTGAGGTTTTTAAGAAAAATGTTTGAAAGACGCGTAACTCGCTATTAAAGCTCTCTTAAAATAAGTTTTTAAAATTGTAAAGCTGCTATTTCAATATGGGTGAATAGTTTAATTCCTTTATAACGCGAGTTATTTTATTTCGAAGTTAAACTATGAACGAAATTGTTATATATGAAAATGCTCGTTGATTATCTATCTGTTTTGATCATGTGTGGATAAAGCTTGTTTTTGATTGGTCAACAATCTTATGACAAAGCCCGTGATTTTCCGAATAGTGAGAAAGTCCCCCCTGCCGCCCTAATATAAGATGATCCTAACCCTAAAGTTAATTCAATAAAATATATATAGTATTATAAGAACCAGCTCCGCTTTAGACGTCCCCCAAAAAGGAAACTATCATCCTATAAATATTACTAATAACAAATGGTAGGCCTAGATCTAGGGCGTAGAGATTTGTGTATGGAACAATGAAGGGAGAATCGATCTCTTGTAGCACGAGTGGTATTCAATAATAGGATTCATGAGCTCGTAAAGAAAATGAATTAAAAATAATCAGAATATAGAAAAATATCATTAACAGTAAACATTTATTGTTTATTTTATTTTAAAACATACAGTATAATTGGCTAGGTTATCGATATTATTATCGTTATTGCATAATTAGATATTCATTCTTCGAAATGTGCCATAATTACCCAGTTCGCTTGCTTAATATATATTCTCACTCATCGTAATACATACCATTCTTGAATTTTACTAAACTATCCGTTGATGCCGTCTACAATGGAAATAAGTCGTTCACAGGCTTAAACTAAGATCTGTAAACAATCCAAACGCTATAGTAGCACTTGATGGTGACGGGTATAGATGCTGGTGAAATTAAATAATGCCGGTGACTATCTAAAATCTGATTGGCTTTTATACAGTATTAAATTTCACTAGTTTCGCCGGTTTCACCACCATTCACCAACAGTTTTGCCAGTTTCACTAGCATCTTCTATATTCTCGAATATATGCGTCTGGTTTTGTACAGAGTATTAAGACAAAGGTTAGGACAAGAAGTATGTTCAAAATGTAATGGACGAATGGATATGTTTGGTAAGTTCTATCACTATTAATGCATTATAATTTAGACTTTTTTGATCATGATATAAATTGCATCTCTTTCATATGCATTCTAATAATGGTGAATGTTTGGAACAATTCAAATGATCTAGACAAGAGGAGATGAAACACAGTAATCGTTCGCCATAACTATTTCGGGAATAAGTCGGATGCATAAGTTATAGCTACTCGTTACTTTAAATAAGTGTTGTATATTTCCTTTTTTTATCATTTTTTTTGTGGCGTATTAATACTGTACATAAATCATTCCCATCAACATTAATCATAGTTTCACATAAATATTTCGGTACACCACCAACGTATGAACGTATTACGTATTTGTATGAAGAAAATTTTCACATATTGTGGATATTGTGGAGTGTAATACTATTGATAACGATAACACACAATAAGTACGTACGTACGTACAGTACGTAGAGATGAAACGCACGTGTAGATTAAACGCACGTGATATGACGTATTAGGGGAAGATAGACGAAACATAAATGCTGTGTTCCCTGTATTATTTCGTCAATTGTCACCAAACCAGTTAGATATTTTGATTAAGGTTGAATGAACTACCAAACACAGGTGAAAAGAATCTGTTTAGGTTTTAATAAGTAACATTTTTTACATTTCAAATTCAACTAAATAACTAGTGTAACTACTTATATTTACGGCGAATACCGATCCCAAGATAATTGAACAATTTTTAACTTGTCTTAACTTTCTTGTTCAAAAAGTCCCACATCATACGTATTGTTTTTTTTTAAAAAACTATATATATTTATTTACTGTTTTGTTTACAACATTGCAACCATTTTTTTCAAAAAAGATTTTAATATATATTTATTTAAAAAGTTATGGGGTGCTATATTTCAAAAAATTCAAGTGGTGAAAAAAAAGCGAAAATTTCCAAATTTTCCAAATTTTCAAAGTTTTCAAAAATTTCAAAGTTTTCTGAATTTTCCAAAATTCCCGTTACGCATAATAACAATCTGGCTGATTCAATAAAAATATCTGAGAAGGTTGATGTTATTACAAAAGAAAACGCAGAAATGGATAAAGTTAGTAAATTAAGCAACCTAAGTAATGAATCGACGACGACTACTATAGGACGTACGGATGAAGATGATATGGAATTATATCCATTACCTGAAAAAGATTATGGTGGTGACAGATTGGCTTTACAACATCATCTATTTAAATATATATGGCGAAGCAACTTTTCTGCACCCGTTGTTGAGAAATTGAATGCCGGTGCTAAAGTCTTGGATTTTGGGTATTTTGCCTTTTTTTTTTTTTTTTATCATTTAGCATTATAAAAAGTTGGGATTATCTATTTTAGAATTTAATTTCGAATTCAAATTCGATTCAAATTCGAATTTAAATTTTAATATTAAATTCAAATTCGATTCAAATTTGAACTCAAACTCGAACTCAAATTCGAACTCAAATTCGAACTCAAATTCGAATTAAATTCGAATTCAAACAAGTTCAAACCCAATATTTAATTGCAAGCTATATTATTGTATTAACGTTAACATATAATTCTTCTATTCAACTTTTTAATTTAATAAGCTGTGGAACTGTCAGTTGGCTCTTAGATTTATCATCACAATATCCAAAATCAACCTTTTACGGTGTTGACCAACCATATTTACTTCGTCTTAGCACGCCGACGATACCGTCAAACGTTAGCGTTCAATATTATGATATTTTATCGGGGTTACCATTTGATGATGGAACTTTTGATTTTATATATATGCGTTTCATGGCTGGAGAAATACCCGAGAAACAAACAGAAAGGATAATAAACGAGTTTTTGAGAGTTTTAAAAGTAGGAGGTTATTTGGAGATTATGGATGTTGAAACTCAAGGCAGAAATGAGGGACCAATAACGCAGAGATTTGTATCTTCAGGTATTGTCAAATATTCTACGTAATTTCTATTATTATTAAATAAATTTTTAACGTTAATATTTAATTTAATACATAATTTAATTTAATTTAATTAATAGTTTTATCATACTATAAAGCAATTGAAAGAAATCCTCTAATGATATCAAAAATTAAACCATTACTTTATTCTAATTCACGACTAACATCCATCAGCATCGAAGAAGAATATTGTCCGATCGGTAATTGGTATGGCAACATTGGTGAAATCGCATTAATAAATTGGACAACATTGTTGAATCAGATGAGATTTTATTTAATGCCTTTTTTGGGTGTTAGCGAGCATAAATACAGGGAAATGATTAGTGAATTTGCAGCGGAAGTTGATGTCTTTCAGACATATTGGGTTAGTTCTAGGATTTATGCGAAAAAAGTGAGGTAATCACTTTTTCAAAATATTGAATTTCTTGGTGTCATTTAAAATTTGCATTTTCGGTACTGGTAACAAAAAACAAAAACATTCAATTTTTAATATTTAAATTTTAACATGTTAACTATAAGTAATCTTATTAAATTTATCAAATGTTGCATTATATCACTCAAAAAAAGAAAAGTTATCGTTAAAATTGTTAAAATTAAGTTTTTATTGCAGAAATTAATCTAACCTTTATTTCAAAAGTTGGTGGGTTCATCGAATTCATCAAATAATTTTCCCTAAATCTTTTTGTAACGGATTTATGATAAATGGACTATATATTCGTTCAGCATAGGAAATGTGGTATACTCTTAGAAAACATATTTTATATTAGTCAAATTTACAGAATTGCGATCTATAATAATGATTTTATTATATAAATTTGCTATGCTTTCTTAAGATTCTATCACAGTTTTTATATTGAACGTATGAATATATTGATAATTATCATAGAATTTGTCATAAAAAGATTCATTGAAAATTGAATTTTATTGATCTCACAGAATAATTGATTCGGTATAGAATTGATTGTATTCGTTTTATAGATTACAGAAATTGTCGAGTCTTGCAGCTTTTTTATAAAAAAAATGGCATCTAGTATTACATTCATCTAAAAACATTTCTAGATCGAGATTAAGATGTAATTTTTTTTATCGTTATCGGATGATTTTTTGTAACACATCAATCGAACGTTAATCTACTACATCAATTAAGATAATTATTTTCTGCATGATAACAAGATTAATCATCAAGCAAGGATTCCCACACCAATTACTTCTCTTTCACGTATAAGCTTCGTTATTACATGAATTCCTTTCTCTTCTGGTTCTTAGATTAATCTTTGAAACTTGTAAATCATCTTTCTGATTCCCTTATTATCTTTCTTTATTATCGTGTTTTTCGGTTCATCATGTCTAAACCTCGATAGAGTACTTGTTATCGGTTATGTTAGAGTACTTGTTGATCGGATATGTTATAGATACGTATAATGCTAAACACGTGCCACGAAACGATATCAAGATCGCAGGGTATAAATCAGTTATACCCAGTGTATTACACCAATTTTCTCGTGCTCTATTATACATTTTTTAAATTTCCTGAACTTTTATCCTTTTGCACTCTTAGTCCTCACCGCTAAGTGCTTCCTTATAATTACAAACAACGCACATTTTCTTAATTTTCGCCGATAACATCTAAATATCAATTTGCCGTACTTTACCAGATGATTTGCACCATAACATAGTAGGCACTACCAAGCAATTCATATATTATAAGTACGGTGAACTTTGATCTAGATTTTTATTTGTGTAACGACAGGTGCGTGCAGTGAATCTATGTACATTATCATCAAATCTCAGAGATTTGGGATTTAAAATGTTCGGATTTTGTTATAGGTTTGATTTGGATTGTAAATATCTGATTTTTATTCGTTAACTACGTAATCCAAGCGAATACGCGTTATTCACCAGAGCTAAATCGTGGGTATTTACAATAGCAACAGACATAATAACAATATATATAACGATGAGCTAGCTTACTGATTTGTTTATTTCCTTTGAAGGTACTTATAAAAGTTGAACTTAAATAGTCGGCTGATGAATATTTGAATTAGATAGTGTCGTCGACCAATTTTAAAGATACAGTAGACTCTAGATATAAAAGCCTTTTACAGCGAACTCTTGATACGTATAACAAATTCAAAATTGTGAAATTACATTATACGTAATTTGGTACGTATAAAAAATGCCATTGGATTTTTAATAAAACAAGTAATTTCTGTAATGGTCTTTGTTTTAGTTCCTTAAAGAGTTGATGGTATTACAATCACAAATATCAAATGCAAACTATGCACATAATCAATAGCGACACATACATTTTCAATTATTTACTGATATTATTGTATTTACGTACGTACGTAATACAGTCGTCCTCCAGAGTCCTCGGATTTTTGTAGCATCTAAAATAGTGCTATTTTTTAGCAAAATAGAGCTAGCAGCAATTGTCTGATTCACATAATGAGTAATTATATGCATATTTTAGATGATAACCGGAGAACTCACTGAGATGATAGACGAAGAACTCGAAAAAGAAAAATATGATTACATTAATTTATACTTAATACGTAAATATAAATTTATAATAGCTTTTTGCTAAATTTGTTAATTTCACTAGCTATTTTTGCTAATTATTTTTGTTACCAACGTCCGGGGGCCCTGTCGTCCTCCCATGCAATCACACATAGTAAATTTTTTTTTAACAATGTTACATATGGAGGCTTGTTTCTTATCGATACGTATCATTATAAATAAATTAAACTATATATTTTGGTCTAAACATAAATGGATTACGTATTTTGTGCAACGGTGATAAGCTTTTACTTGATACCGTACCGGTACATTTCTTTAACCTTAATGTCTGACAAGTTAATTGATTATTATTATAATTAACGTTAAGGTTGATTTTCATCCCAATTGCGATTAACATTAAGTGATAAACGTTAATCGTCTTAATTGGACAAATCATCTTAACACTACTGAATTTTTAATGAACTACGTACATATGCACGTACGTACGTATTGAGAATATTCTTAATCAGATCGAAAAAATAACTGCAAAAAATATATTGCTGTATTATAAAAGAGAACTGGATATTTTTGTACTACAGGTATAAGTATAAAAATCATTTCCTTTATAGAAAGAAAAAACCAATAATGTCAGCGTTTGTTTCTTGGTATAAATACCATTTGTTACGTAGACCTATTCTCATTCAAGCTATTACAACTGGTATGTTACCATTGAGTATACAGTACTTTTAACCATATTTCTCGTTCATTCTAAACTTTCAATACTATTTGTCAAAAATAGGAATTTTATTTAGCACTGGCGATATTATAGCACAAGGATTTATAGAACAAAGAGGACACAAGGAATACGATTTTTCAAGGACTCTGAGACTTGCCGGTTTTGGTACATTAATTGCTGTAAGTAATCATCTAATCATAACTAATTGTTGTAAATTGTTGTCAATTTTGATTTTTTTTAAAATTTCTAAAAATTTCTAAGATGTTCTAAAATGCTCTTCATTAATAGGGACCAGCAGGTGCAACATGGTATAGAATTCTTGATAAATATGTTGATCTTAAAAAACCATTTCTTGGTAAATATTTATTTTATTTTTAATTGGATTTTCATATCATACCTTTTTATCGTTAAACTGATTTATTAACATTTATTTTAATGAGTAGCACTATTAGTTAGGGTTACTTTAGACCAATCAATTTATGCTCCAAGCTTCATTGCAACATTTTTATTTGTTCAAAGCGTATTAGAAAAACAGAATAAAGAACAAATCTTCAAGAAATTTAAAAAAGTAAGTCACATTGTTTTTCAAAAAAAAAAAATATTACGTATTAAATTTATACGTATTACTGCTGTATCTATTATACGTATTATTGCAAAAAAAAAAGTGGCGGTGGCAAAAATAATAAATCATTACTCTATTAAGTAAGCTTAAGCTTTTTTGTAAATCTGTCTTTATTTGATTTTATTTGATTTTTATTGGCGAGAATAACAATTGTTGTCACCACTATTGTTTTTTTTTTTTGCAACATGCTACGTGTCCAAATTTAATTAAATAATAGTGCTATTATTAATTATCCTTTTTATTTTTTTTCTAATTTAAAAGGTTTATTTACCAACACTTAAAAATAATTATAAGTTATGGCCAACCGTACAATTACTAAATTTTTATTTTGTCCCATTGAATCATAGATTATTAGTGGTTAACGTGGTTGCTTTAGGATGGAACACTTATTTATCAATCGTTAATAAGAGAGGATCTGATATTGTTCTTAAATAAGTTTATATAAAAAAGCTGATCATAAGTCGTGGGATCCGTCTATCTATTCAGATGAGCGGTGTTTATCGTTTGTTGATAGTTTGTTAATAATCAGGTTAATGACAACTTTTAAAATATGGTCATGGATTACATCTTATATAATAATATCAATTAATTATATAATTTATTATTCAGCATATACGTACTTTAATCTATTACTGAATAATAATAAATTGTTTTCTCTGGCAATCATAATCATATGTCATTCTGATATTGATGGCTTTTAAGTATTGTTGGATAACCGGATATTCTGATATTGATGGCTTTTAAGTATTGTCGGATAACCGGTTTTATTGTCTTGAAAATGAATAATTAACGTTTGTAGAATTGGGATCATCGGGTCGTTCATCCTTAACAAGTTTATAAAACATCATAGATTCAAAAATAGTGATGTTTTGGTCAAAAAACTAAATCTTATCAATTGAATCATTGTATATTCTGAATATTCATGAAAATTACATCAAAAAAAGATAAAAGACCAAAATGGTGATTTGGAATCGAGAGCGTTTGATCACAAGCTTTAGGTTTTGGGAATCATCGAAAAATTTTGTTCGAATATTCGAATGTTTATCGAGTTTTTTTTAAAATATCAAGGCAATAATAATATCAAAAAAATCCAATGTACGTAGCATTATATTTATCAATCATGTTTGTATACTATTAATTAAAACTGTATATGAATTCTAAATATCAAGAATAATAAAATCAATTGTTTTCTCAATTGTCTTCACACTACGTTTTGAAATATTATTTTACCAAATAACTTTGGATTTATAACATTTTCTATGCTCAAAAACAATCATCCTTTTGATATGCTTGTTACGTGTACAGTCAACCCTCCATAAATGCACCCTCCATAAATGCACCTTCCATAAATGCATCCTCCATAAATGCACTTCTGTAAATGTACGCACTATGTACACTCTCTCTAAATGCACACGAATCTTCAGCCCCGAGCATATAGAGCACTTAATAAAATGCTCTTCATAAATGGCACTCTTTAAATACATATTTTTAAAAATTTTGCCTATAGTCACAAGGGTACATTTGCGGAGGGTTAGCTGTATTTCACTTAAATTAATGGATAGGATTTAGGTGTACTACCAGTAGTATTTTGTACTCTGTGATACCATTTAAAGTTAATTATTAACTTATTTTAAAACTTAATCTATTTAAATATTTTTGTAATATACTTTA